AGCCAGAGAGGAAGCCGGAAATGATGCCTGGCCCCAGGGACTGTCTTTTGCCTCTTAATTTTATCCCCAATGTCTATCATAGTGCCTGGCACATATTAGGTGCTTAATACATGAGTATTCATTGACTAGTTTTGTGTCATCTGCAGATTTAATAAGAATTTCATCTATGCCTTTTCCCCATCATAGATAAAAATGTTAAACAGTGAAGCCAAATGTAGACCACTAAGGAATTCCATTGGAGACCTCCTTCTAAGTTGATATTGAACAGTTAATATTCTTTGAGTCCAGTCATTCAGCTAATTCTGAATTCATGTAATTATACTGTTGTCTAGCCCACAACATTACATCTTTTCCACAAGAATAGCAGACGAGACTAAATTTAGTTAAATACTTTGCCAAAATCTAGTAAACTATATCTGCACCTTTCTCCTGATCTACCAATTAGTAATCTACCTGTCAAAATGAGGTTAGTCTGGAATGACCTATTTTTATATAGTCATGCTGATTTTTTGGGATTACATATCCATTTTTAGATACTCATTAACCACCACTACTATTATAAAATAACACATTATAGAATTTTGCTAGGAATCACAGCTAAACTTATTGTTAGCAGATTCCATTCTCCCCCTTTTTTTAAATTGAGACATTTATTCTTCCTTAATCTTTGGATACTTCTCTTATTAGTGGCTTATCAATTACTCCTACCAGTTCTTTCTATTCCTGAAGATATAACTCATCTGGAGCACATAACTTGAGCTCATTCATTGTTAAGTGCTCTTTTAATATCTTACTTATCTTGGGTATCAGTTCTCTCTTAGCAATTTTTGTTCTGTCCTTTCCAATTCTTTTCTTTTATCAACTCTTACTTTACTTGTAATATTTCAGCCACTGGAAAGGATAAAATAAAAATGGCTAACAGGTCGTCGATATCCAAGAGAGATAAAGAGATATTAAGTTCTTTCTTTTTTTGAAGAGGAAATAAAGTAAATTGTTAGAAACTCTTTTGTTCAATTATATGCTAACAAAACTGATATCTTAAATAAAATGGGTGAATATTTATACAAATATAAAATTGCCATATAAATAGAACAAGAAATGGAGGATTTAAACAAGCCTACCTTAGAAAAAATAAATTTAATAAACTGTAAATGAGCTTCTAAAGGAAAAAACCATAGACCCAGATGGATCTACAAGTAAATGAACATTGAACTCCTCCAACACTGTTTGCAAAAATAAAGAAGGCATCCTACCAAACTCTGCCATGCCCTGCCTTTGTATCCTGTCTGTCTCTTGCTAACTGACCCTCCTTACATTTTCTACACCTGGCTTTTAAAAACCTAAGGTAGTTCTTGTGTTCCCTGTGTCACCCTGTTGGTCTCTTCAGACAACCCCCCTTTTTCTTCCTTATTGTAGTTGTTCTTCTTTCTTCAAGGTTTCACTGTTGAGAGCTTGCTATCCCACTTAGATTGACTTCTGTAAAAATAGTCCACAGGATCCTATCTTTCCCTCCTTTGAAGCCTTTAAAATCTTTTCTTCCAACATCTATCCCTAGAGGAAATTTATGTCCATATTTCCTTTTCCATATCACAAAGTCAGGAAAAGGAGAGTGGTCACTTTATCATAATCATACTCAACAGCAAGCATTTATTAAGCACTTACTGCATGCAAGGCATTGTGCCTAAGGGCTAGGGATACAGAGAGGCAAAACCCATGATTCTTGCTCTCAGGGAGCTCACATTCTAATGGGAAGGCAACATGCAAACAACAAACATACAAAATATATACAATGTAAATGGAAAGTCATCTTTAAGGGAAAGTTCTGGTTAAATTTGGGGAGGGGTATAATAGGAAGGGCCTTCTGCAGAGAGTGGGCTTGAAGCCCAGTTGGGTGGGAGAGCATTCCAAGCATGAGGAATGGCCCATGAAAAGACACCCAGTGGGGAGATGGAATGTGGCATTTGTGGAATGGACAGTGTTGCTGGATTGTGGAGTGTGTAAAGAAGACTGGAAATGAAAGAAAGGGCCAGATTCCTCTCAAGGTTCCCACTCTTTTCCCTCCAGCAACTGGTTCCTCCTTATTGATAAGAATCAAATCCAGAATCAAAGCTTCCTTTGTGGGTTACTCTACCTTTTGAAGGCTGAAGGAGATGCTAAGCAAGACAAGATCAAGGTTACAGACAAACCACAGAGGAGATCAGCACAGTTATCTTCTAAACCTGCTCTTCCAAAGCCAGAACCCATACCAAAAAGGCACCTGTGAGGAAGGGAAAGAAGTTACCCAAAGAGAAAAAGGGAAAAGCTGACTCCAGTAAGGATGGGAACAACCCTGCAGAGAATGGAGATGCCAAAATAGACCAGGCAACAGTGGGGGGGGGAGGGGGGAGTCAAGATGGTGTAGAAACAATGACCTGGAGGCAGCAAGGTGGCACAGTGGATAGAGCACCGGATGTGGAGTCAGGAGGACCTGAGTTCAATTCTGGCCTCAGACACATAACACATAGATCCTGGGTAAGTCACTTAACCCCACTGCCTAGGGAAAAAAAAAAAAGAAAAAGCAGTGACCTGCTTGAGCTCTCCCCCAAACCCCTCCAAATACCTGTAAAAAATGACTCTAAACAAATTCCAGAGCAGCAGAACCCAACAAGTTTCCAACCCAAGACAACCTAGATGGTTAATTGGAAAGGTTGGTTGCGCCAAGCTGGGAGAGGAGTGCAGTTCAGCATGGGCCTTTCTTGCAAAAACCAGGTCTCAGCAAACCTGGAGCAGGCCTCAGGGGACTGGCAGTTTCCAGACTTCTCAACCCACAAACACCAAAGACAACTTAGAAGGTCAGTAGGAAAGGTCTGTCAGACCTCAGTGAGAGAAGAGCTCGGTCCAGCCCCAGTCCTTGTGCAACCCCAGGGCAGAGACTGCTTCCAGAGCTCTGCCCACAAACTGAGAGGGAATCAAGTGGCTGATCAGAGGGTGATTGCAGGGATCTCTTTGCTGTCACTGAGGCAGGATTCTCTTGCTTTGTTCGTGCTTGGATCTGAGTTGTAGTTCTGGGTGGAGGTCTTGGGATGAGAAGGAGTGCTGGAGCTTGTGGCTGCGGTGGAGAGGGAATCATCCTCACAATTCCAAGGCACAAAAGAGTGCTTGTGGTCACTCATAGACCAGAGCCCAGGCCAGGAAAGGAGTAAACATCTTACCCTTGATCATACCACCTTGGAAGAACTGAAAATTTATGGGTTCCTAGAAGTCTCTCTGAAAAAAGCTGCACAAAATCTCTGAAGCTTGGGACAGTACATTCTCCACACTGGAAGCAGACCCCAACCTTAACAAAGAGTTTGAAACTCAAGTAATTGGCTGGGATCATGAGCAAACAGGGCAAAAAAGTCAGACCATAGAATCTTACTTTGGTGACAAAGAAGATCAAAACATACAACCAGAAAAAGATAACAAAGTCAAAGTTCCTACATCCAAAGCCTCCAAGAAAAATAAGAATCAGTCCCAGGCCATGGAAGAGCTCAAAAATGATTTTGAGAAGCAAGTAAGAGAAGTAGAGGAAAAACTGGGAAGAGAAATGAGAGTGATGCAAGAAAATCATGAAAAACAAGTAAACAGTTTGCTAAAGGAAGCCCAAAAAAATACTGAAGAAAAAAACAGACCAAGCACAGAAAGCTGAAAGTGCTGGAGATGCCAAGTGAATTGTGTGAATTTTTGATAACTGTATTCTTCTGGTGGCTGTGCAGTTTGAAATACTATTTTTTATCAAGTTTTATAAAAATGCAGAATTTTATTTTACTTTTTTTTAAGTTAATGTTGTTAGCACACAGAATACTTTGTTGTTGTTTTGGGGAAATTGGGCAGATGTTACAGATAGGATGTCTCATAGATTGAAATGGGTGGGAATTTCTTCCCCTCCTAGATTTTGAGAGGACATTTCTTGAATACTAAAGAGGTTTCCACGTGCGCATATGCATGCACACGATACATACAGATATGAACACTGATACTCTCAGCCTGTCTGGTGGATTAGGAGTGGATAACTTCAAAAATGTGTACTTCATCCCTGTCTGCCATAAGTATCAACTTGACTCCTCCAAACCCAGGGTCCTCTCAGGACCTGCCCCTATTTCCCTCCTTCCCCCACACCCCCAAATCAATTGTGTTGGATACCAGTCTTTCAAGTGATCTGGACTTGAATTATGGCTCTGAGGAGACCTCCTCAAAAAAGCCCAAGTTCCTTTCATATTGGGGATTTTTCCCAATTAAGAATTCTGCAGTTTTTATTTCATTTCTTCAAAGTCAGGGTAGGCTTGTGAAAAGTTGTTAGACAACATATGCTCAATGTGAAAGTGTCTACCCTCACTCTAAACTTTCCCTGTTTAAAGTGTAAAATAAAGACTCTTCATTGGGAAAAAAACTATACTAAATCTATTTGATTTTGCTGGAGAATAGTGACGAATTTCTTCCCTATTAGTATCAAAGTCCCTAACAGTTTGAGCCCATCTATTCTTACAAAGCAAAAGCTATAGCATGTAGTTTATCTCATGTAAAGCAAGAGCTATTTTCCTTTCTCCACTGGGAACTCCTCCCTCAATGGAGGCAATGAGGTTGTAGTGGAAAATGCACTGAATTTAGGGTTAGGAGGGAGACCTGCCCTGAGATCCTGCTTCTCACATTTCATTGCTGTGTGATGGTAGGCAAGTCATTTAAGCTCTCTTTTGTAAGAAGGTATTATTTTGTAATACCTGTGACTGTTGTGGGGAACAAATTAGATAATGTACAGAAATTGCTTTTCAGACCTTAAAGTACTTTCTTAAGTCAGCTATTATTGTTTTATTTGAAATGACTAATCATAATAAGGCACTCAGTAAATAGTTCTTTGTTGTTTGATTGAAGACACACTCCTAAACAATGTGTATAAATAATTAATAGCTAAGGGAAGAGGTAATATCATAAGCCTTACTAATATTTAAACTCTAAAACCTACTAACTGTTCATTTTTCTTTTAGTTCCTAAGAGCAGTAATGAGCCGAAACTACACTGTGGCAAAAAAATTATGTCAATTGAGTAAGTACAGTTTTCTTATGCTTTTCTTTCTTTCTTTCTCTTTCTTTCTTCTCTTTTTTCTTCCTTCCTTCCTTTCTTTTTTCTTTCTCCCTCCTTTCTGTATTCTTTCTTTCTCCCTCCCTCCTTTCTTTTTCTTACTCTCCTTGTTTCTTTCTCTCTTTATTTCTTTCCTTCTTTCTCTCTCTCTCTCTCTTGGTCTCCCTAATCTTGCCCAGGCTGAAATTGCAACAGCTCGCCTGTCAATCAATCAGCAGAAAAGCAGGAGGAAGGTGGGGAGGTATCGGGTGTGGGGGCATGATGCAGAAGTCATGAAGAGTACAGCCAGGTGGGAAATGAAGACATGGCTGATCTGGGCCTCCCTCCTTGAATGAAGGTTCTGGGAAGAAAGCTTTCTGCTTCCAATGAGAGGGAGGAACAGGCCCCTGGGCCAAAGGCCTTCATCCCATTGCCAATAGGCATGGAAATTTGGACATGATCCATTTCCAATGTGGGTTGGTTTACTTCTACATAACACCTGATGTCCCCCCACTCTCACCGGCTTATCATATTAGGAGTGGACTTAATATCAGCTTCACCCTTTCAGTAGCAGTGATTATACCCATGCTTGATTCTCTTTTGTATTTCTAAATAAATAAATGTCAGATGTGATTTCATAATAACAAATATAATTAGCCAGATTTCTCATCAATTCATATAAAAATAAATATACAATTAATATATTACATACACACACACTAGTTAAATAGAAGGTAATTTTGGGAGAGGGCACCAGTAATTTGGAGGCTCAGAAAAGGCTTCATATAGAAGATAGTTCCTGAACTGCATCTTAAAGAAAGGGAATGCATTCCAGGCATGGATGGATGCAAAGGTGTTAAAATGGGAAATGAGGTGTCATGAGAGAAGAACAGACCAGAGACCAGTTTGGATGGATTGCAGAATTTGGGAGAGACAACATAATTTGGGGCCAGTTTCTGTGGGACTTTAAAAGCTAAACATGGGAGCTTATATTTATTCTAGAGGCAATAGGAAGCCACCGGAGTTGGTTGATTAGGAGAGTCACATGGTCACATCTGCACTTGAGGAATATTACTTTGGCAGTAGCATGTAAAATAAATTGGGAGTAAAGAGAGATTTGAGGCAGAGAGATCAGTTAGTAGTCAATGATTTAGGCAAGAGGTGAAGAGATTGAAATAAAGTTGATGGAGAGAAGGGATTAGATGCCCAAAATTGTGTGAAGTAGAAACATCGAGATTTGGCAACTTCATGGATACATGGAGTGAAGAAGAGTGAGGAGTCAAGGATCATGTAAGATGACAAACTGAGGCACTGGAAGGATGATAGTGCCCTCAACAGACACCAGAAAGTTTGGATGAGAGAAAGGTTTAAAGGAAAAGAAACTAAGTTCAGCCTTCACCTTGTTGACATTAAGATGTCTGAGAAGTCCAGTTTGAAATTTCCAATAGACAATTTATGAACCTGGACAAAACTTAGAGGGGATACCAGGCAGCAGGATATGTAGTTCTGGGAATCATCAGCATAGAGATGATAGGGTTGCCTGTGGCACTGAGTGATTAAGTGACTTGCCTAAAACCACAGCCAGAATGTCAGAGGCATTGATTTGAACCAAAGCCCTCTGAACTCTGAGGCTAATTCTCTATCCACTACTGTACAATGTCTCTTTTGGCAATCCAATAATTTACTAAGTCCCATTAATTTTACCTCTGCAATATATCTTACATCCATCCATCCATTCCATCCTCTCCCTATATATCCAGGTAGAGGTCTCCATCCACCTGGACTCTGCAACAGTCTAACAGCCTCCAGTTTATTTGTCCTGCAAGCTGTTCTTCATACCCCTATCTTCCTTACTTGTAGATCTAGTCATGTAATACCTCTTCTCCAGACCCTACAGAGTACAGTTCAAACTAACTCCTTTGGCTAACATTTAAGGGCAATCATGATCCTGTGCTGCTGTTATCTTTACAGCTTTAATTTATATTAATGCTCTCCACGGGCTTTGCACACTAGCCCAACTATTTGCAATCTCTCATTCACATCCAATGCTTTCTCACTTCCTTGCCCTTATTTATACTATTCCATATAAAGTTCTTTCTTCCCTCTTACCCATTGAATTCAAACTCGATGTCTTAGAGACATCTCAAGTTCAACCTCTCTGAAAAAAACACTCGTTATCTTTTCCCCAAAACCTTCCACTCTCTTGAATTTCCCTAATTCTGTCAGGGGTACCATTGTTCTTCCAGTCTCCCAGGTTCATAACTTTGGCATTATCCTTGATAATTCTTCCCCTCTCCTTGTCTCACTCACCCCACATATTCACATATCTCTCACATCCAATCTCCTCTTTCATTGCATTGTCACAAGCCTTATTATTTCTTGCTTATACTTTTATAATACTATCCTAATTGTTTTCCCTGCATGTTTCATGATTGATTCTTACCAATCCTTTTAAGTCTAGCTCAAATCTTTTCCAAGAAGCTTTTTCTTAGCTGCCCCTCTAAATATGCATTCAACTAGGTAATATTCCTTTCCTATGTCAGACCACATTTATCAATTTAATCATACATCCCTCATACACTTGTGAATTACTGTGTTGGTTAATTATGTGTGTGTGTATGTGTGTGTGTGTGTGTGTGTGTGTGTGTGTGTTTCTTTACTAGAATGTAAGCAGGGGCTTATCCATGAGTTTTCTGTCATCTGAACTTTGTATCTCCCTCAGTGCCTATCCCAGTGCTCTGCACATAATAGGTGCTTAGTAAATGTTTGTTAAAATGAAAATTAACTATATGTCAAAATTAGTCAGAAAGGAAAAATATCAGAAGTAAAAACATAGTACCATTCCTTAAACTGAGGAACATATATTAAGTAACTTCAGAGTCACTTGAGCCAGGATTAGGTCTTAGGTCCAGCATCCCGAGCTCTTTGCCTATTTGTGTCTAAGATTATTAGGTTATAAAAATAATTTCTCCTAGTTCCTCCTCAAGGACTTTACAATTTTAGTAAAAATGGCTTATTCTGGTTAGTTTCCTATCTAATTATGAATATAAGAGTTATATATTCTCCTGACTACAAAACTTAGTATCTTTCATTCTGGATGTCTTGTGGGGGCTTTTAACTTTACTCCTTTCTTTGTTTTTTGTTTTCATCTACAAAGAATTCTCTTAAATAATTTTATCTGTTAATATGAACTTAGATTTCATCTGCTTTCCACACACTATTCTTATATAGTCCTAATATCTCCTACCATTTTCCTGTGGTCTCATGCAGAACTGATGTCTTTGCCTGCATCCCATCCCCCATTTATGTTGGAGGCAGTGTTGTAGAATGTTTTTTAAGTGAGACTGGGAGTCAAAAGTTTCAGGTACCATTCGCAGCTCTTCTGTTGGTTTACTGTAAGACTGCACAAAAGAATCTTTCTATTTCTTGGCACCTTCATGCGTAAGATGGAGATTATAGGCTCAAATTTTTGTCAGAGAGAGAGAGAGAGAGAGAGAGATTTTCCCCCTATCACAGACAACTAAAGTCTCTAAGTGGGAGAATTTGGGCCTTTCAATATTTACTTCATTACTACTTTGATGGACCCAAGATCTCATGGGTACTGTTACTCCTCCCCACCCCTATACACATCAAAACCTATCTAGTCCTGTCTCATCCTAAGTGATTCTTGTCCATACATTTCCATAAAACTTTCATAGAGGGTCTGCAGTACACTGGAGGTTGTCTTCTGAGTCTTTCAATATTTCATGCATATAATGCAACACTTGGGCTGTCTTCTATATTCCTTTTGGTTCAATTAACAAATAGTTATTAAATGCTTACTATTTGCAAGGAACTGTGCTAAGTATATTCAAATACAGAAAAGCAAATAATCCCTGCCCTCAAAGAGATTACATTCTACTGGAGGTAATCAACATGGATTCATAAGGGTAAATAGAAAACATATACAAATTAATCTGGGTGGAGGGGTATGGAAAGCCCTCATGTAAGGGCGGCCCTGGAGCTAAGCCTCAAAAGACTGAGGGATTCTAGAAGGCAGAGGTGAGGAGGGAAACACAGCCTGGGCAAAGTCTGTGGAGGAGGGAAATGGAATGTCATGTTTAGGGAAAAATAATTGGACAGTTTGACTGGAACATAGAGTACATGAGGGTAACTAATAGAAATCAATCTGGAAAAGTACAGTGGAGGCACATTATGAAGACTTCAAATACCAAACAAAGGACTTTCTTGAACAAGAACCTGTGATTTCGTTGGCATAGAGAACCTCCTAGCTGAGGAGACTCCATTCCAAGGCCACCCTGTACAGACAGCTTGTATTCTTAGGGCTCTAGAGCACTGAGAAAGTAAGGGCCTTTTCTAGAGTCACACAGCAAGATGCGTCCAAAGCAGGCCTTAAATCCAGGTCTTCCTTCCTGACTTTGAGGCTAGCCCTTTGTCCACTATTCCACACCAAGTAAATCTCCCTCCCATCAACTCATGATAATTTTTCTAGGGAAAATTTGAACTATCGTAATATACTGTGGGGTCAGGGTCTACTCCCTATGAGATGCCCTGCCTTCCCCTGGGAAGAGGGAGCTCTGTTAAGCCACACCAGTATGTTGGGGAGTAAAGAAAGGTTACAGTCACCTGGAATGGGTCTAGTCCCACTCTCTAATCTTCTGTAGCCCCCTGTATCCTGACTCCTTCCCTCCTCTGCTTACAGACATGCTTGTGTTGTCCCCACTTACTTGACCCCACTAGCGATTATTCTCCATCTCTCCCTTCTCCAGTAAACTCCTTGAAAAAACTGATCGCACCAAATGTATTCTACTACTTCTCCTCTTACTTGCTTCTAAATTCTCAGCAATTCTCTCTTACTTCTGACTTCTTGTCATCTAGTTCATCAGAAGCTGTTCTCTCCAGAAGTCCTCTCCAAATTTGGAACTCAAAGTTTTAAAAACTAATGTTAAAAATTGTTTTTACATGTAACTGGGGAAAAAATAAAATACCAAATAAAAATTTTAAAAAGTCCTCTTTAGTGATCTCTTAATTTCCAGTTCTAATGGCCTATTCCCAGTCCTCATCCTTCTTTGACCTTTCTTCAGCTTTGGTTACTGTCGGTCATCCTCTCCTCCTGGATACTCTCTTCTCTCTAGATTTTTGTGACATTGATGGAATCTCCTACCTGCCTTACCTCTTATTCTCAGTCTTGTTTGTCAGACTTTCATCCAGGTCATGTCCACTAACTACAAGTGACCTCCACAATTACTCTGGACTCTTCTCTTTTTCCCCTCTATACTATTTCGCTTGCTTATTTCATTAGCTTCTATGGGTTCAATCATTACCTCTATGAAGATGATTCCCAGGTCTATATATCCAGCCCTAATCTCTCTCCTGAGCACCAATTCCACATTATCAACTTTCTTTTGAACATCTCAGATCAGATGTCCTGTAGACATCTCAGACTCCACATGCACAAAAACAGAACACACAGTCTTTTCCCTTAAAACTTTCCCCTCTTTCCAACTTTTCTGTTATTGTTGAGGGTACACCATCCTCCTGGTCCTCAGCTTTCCATTCACGCTCTCTCCACATATCCAGTCTGTTGTCAAATGTCGTTTTTATATTCACAGTTTCTAGATCCCCATATCTCTACTCACATACCTGCTACCCTAGTACAAGCCATCCTCATCTCTCATTTGATCTTGTGCGAGACACCTTCCAATTGACCTTTCTGTCTCAAGTGTCTCACAATCCATCCTCCCCTCAGCTGCCAACATGATTTTCCTAAAATGCAGGTCTCACCATGTCACCCTCCTCCTCAAAAGACTTCACTGGTTCCTTGTGTCTTCCAGGATGATGATGATGAGGAGGAGGAGGAGGATGGTATTAACAACAATAATAATAACTAACATTTATGTAGCACCTACTATGCACCAGGCACTGTGCTAAACATTTTACAGGTCCTATCTCATTTGATCCTCATATAGACCTGGGGAGGTAGATGCTATTATTATCCTCATTTTCAAATGAGGAAACTGAGGCAAACAGAGTTAAGTGACTTGCCCAGGGTCACACAGCTAGTAAGTGTTTGAGGCCAGATCTGAAGTCAGGTCTTCCCAGCTCTGGGTCCAGTGCTCTAGCCATTGCACAACCTAACTGTCCATCAAATATAAACTCTTCCTTTTAGCCTTTAAAGCCATTAACAGCCCAGCCACTTTCTGTTTTTCAAGTCTTCTTCTGCTTTTCTCTCCTCCACATGCTCTCTGAGCCAGCTATAGTGGCCCACTTATTGTTCATTACATGTGACATGCTCTCTCCAAACTCCTTATTTTTGTTCTGACTGCTTCCTGGGTTTGCAGTTTTTAGTTTCTGTTTTAGTGTTGTTGCTGGCTTTTAGTTTCTCTGGCTCTTTCAAGACTCATCTCAAATCCTGCCTCCTGCTGGAGGTTTTCCCAGCATCTCTGTGCCCCAGCTGCTAATGCTTTCTTTTGAAATTACCTCCCATTTACACTATATATGTATATAGCTTGTATATATATGGAGCAGCTAGGTGGCACAGTAGATAGAGTGCCAGACCTAAAGTCAGGAACTCATCTTCCTGAGTTCAAGTCCAGCCTCAGACACTTACTAGCTGTGTGACCCTGGGCAAGTCACTTAACCCTGTTTGCCTCAGTTTCCTCATCTGTAAAATGAGCTGGAAAAGGAAATGGCAAACCACTCTAGTATCTTTGCCAAGAAAACCCCAAATGAAGTCACAGAGAATTGGACATAACTGAACAACGACAACAAATTGCAGTGTCTTCCCCAGTTATAACGTGAGCTCCTTGAGAGCAAAGGGCCTTTCTTTGTATCCACAGTGCCTAACACGTAGTAAACACTTAATAAATATAGACTGACTGACTGCTGTCTCCCAGATACCAGAATGCTGTATGAATAATATGCTTTCCTCTAACTTTTGATAGTCAAACAGCTTGTTTGACAGGAGAGGAAATTGACTGTGCCTTGACCCCACGCTCCATGCCAAGAGATAACCTCTTTGCCTCTTCTCTGATGAAATAAGGAGCCTATAAATGCCACTACCCCTATATTGAGAAAGCTAAACATTTGGGGGACTTGCATAAGAAATATAATATGCTTTGTCTTTGTCAGACATGGTAGCGCATACCTGTAATTTCTGCTGCCAGAGAGGCAGAGTACTGGCAGACTTCTTGAGCTCAGAAGTCTCAAGCTGCAGTGGGCTAAGAAGGTGGGGTGTACTCCCCTGAGTTTGGCATTAATATGGTGAGCACCTAGGAATGAGGAGCCATCAGGTTGCCAAAGAAGACCTGAACCACCCCAAGTAGGAAACAGAACAGATCAAAGCTCCAATACCAGTTAAAATGGGACCAAGCCTATATAAATAGCCCTTACCTGTACTTGCAGTCTAAGCAAGGTAGAGAAACCCAGTATTTTTTTTTTCACTTTTTGGTGAGGCAATCGGGATTAAGTGACTTGCGCAGGGTCACATAGCTAGTAAGTGTTAAGTGTCTGAGGCTGGATTTGAACTCAGGTCCTCCTGACTCCAAGGCCAGAGCTCTATTCACTGTGCCACCTAGCTGCCCCAGAAACCCAGTACTTTAAAAAATAAATAACTTCTTTTAAAATTGTTTTTATATATTTGTTAAATATTTCCTGATTACATATAAAAAAATTTTTGAATAATCTTTCCCAGTTACATGTAAAAACAAGTTTTGCCATTTTTTAATAAATAGAATTATGCATAGAATAATTTTACATATATATATATATATATATATATATACACCCATTTGTGTCTTAATGGTAACCATCTCTAGGGTAGGGAAGGGAAGAAAAAAGGGGGGAAAAGAAATTTACATGATAATTTTATTATATATTTAAAAGGAAAAGCAAGTGGTACCTAATAGATTGCAGTTTCATGTGCAATCATCTTTTTTATTATACTGTGTTATGGAATTGCTTGTTTTATTCCATAAATTAAAAATAAAAATTTACCATTTAAAAAAAATTTTGAGTTCCAAATTCTCTCCCTCCATTCCTTCCCTCACCCTCCCTGAGATGGTAAACAATTTGATATAGGTTATCATGTCAAAAAAAAATTTAAACAATCATTAAATAAAAATTTTAAAGGAAAAATGTCTTTCTTTGTCGTGTTTAACTAGAATTAGCAATGAGACATTCAATTAGAGATAAATCAGTGAACAAAAAAAGTAAACAACCCTCCCTTCCCCAATCTCATCAACTAGCCTAGCTTGTCCTGCAGCTGGATTACATCCTCTTTTGGGAAAAGAAAAAGACACTGTGTCCAAGAAATGTTTTGGATCCCAGATAATGAATAAAGCCTAATTGAGATGTCAGTGATTGATCATATTTGTTACTTACCTCACCATAGAAATGTAATGAGAATTAATAAGGTAATGTTTACAAGTAGGGTTATATAAGTAAGGGTTATATTTTTAATATTTTTGTTATTTTTTTGTTATTTTAGTATTACTATATAAATAAAACATTCTACTTAAGTGTAGATATACTCTTGGTTATGATTTTTAGTACTTATAGTTGTGTGCAGTTTCATATTCAATGACTGACAATTTAACTACTTTTCTCTATGGGATGTCTAGTTACTAAAACACTTTGACCATTAATAATGTGAATTGTCTTTTTCAGTTCTAGTCTATGAACCAGAAAATCCTGAAGCCAAAGAATTTTCCTCATTGATTGAAGAAAAGTTGCTAATGGGTATTTTTAAAAATTTGAAACTACTTCTTTGTTTTATAACTAGTTGTCTAAAAATCTGTTACCAAGAGAGTGTGAATTTCATTCTCAGATGGAGATAGTTAAGAAAAGAGCAAACAGCTACCTCGAATGTCTTAAGTTCAGACAAGATTGAAATCAGAGGCGTGAACCCTCAAGGTCTGTTTCCTAGGGTTTGATTAACTACACAATGCAAGCTAAAGTAATTCCCATGATTTCTAGACCCTGGGCAGAGCTTTCAAAGACATGAGGCTACTGCTGATCCCTTTCCTACTCCCTAGTGCTAGAAGCACAGGTTATCTCATAAGTCACAGGAAAGGCCTAAATTGTCTTCATCTTTATGTTTTTATTAAAAAATAAATGCTCTATTAAAAGAACTATAGAAAAACCATGTTTACAGCTTTCTTTTAAAAAGATTTATGATTGGGGCAGCTAGTTGGGGCAGCTAGGTGGCGCAGTGGATAGAGCATTGACCTTGGAGTCAGGAGGACCTGAGTTCAAATCTGGCCTCATACACTTAACAGTTACTAGCTGTGTGACCCTGAGCAAGTCACTTAACCCCAATTGCCTCATAAAAAAACCCCAATAATAAACAAAAAAAATTAAAAATGGATTATTTATTGGGGCAGCTAGGTGGCGCAGTGGATAGAGCACCCGCCCTGAAGTCAGGAAGACCTGAGTTCAAATCTGGCCTCAGACCAAACACTTGACACTTACTAGCTGTGTGACCTTGGGCAAGTCACTTAACCCCAATTGCCTAAAAAGAAAAAAAATATTTAAAAAAAAAAGATCTGTGGTAAATTTAAAGTTCACAAACAATTATATTCAAATAAGAATGTACTCCTTCATTGATATATGATGTCATACTGGGAGCAAGTTTTTAGCGCTAACTTTGTCTTAAAATAATAATTTATCAAATTACAATAGTGTAGCTTCCAAAAGTGGCTTATTGTACTTTGGGGAAATCTGTTCCATTATTTTCCACTGAATTTATTCAAGGTAAAAACAAAAACACAAAACTTCTATTTGACCCCAAATTTATTATCTAAAAGTTCATTTCTCTCTGTAGTTTTCAAAAGAGCATATTACTTTGAAGGGGGGAGTAAAGTGTTTGCAAAAGAACAATGCTTTAAGCAAAATGATTAACAATTCTGTTTATTTCTGTGGCAGAAAAAAGCCATGCTGAGGAAGAAGAAGAAAGTGATGATAGTAGTGATGATAGTGAAGAAGACAGCAGTGATGATAATGATCAAAGTGAAGACAGTTCTGATGAATCTGAAGATATATAAAAAAATCCTATGACTTCTATGGCCTAATGGTTTTTCATTTATTTTTAGTAACATTCACATTCTTTTTCATTAGCATTTACTATCAAAACAGAATGCTGAAAATGAAAGTGGTTCTGATGAATCTGAAAATATATTTTTAAAAACTCTATTACTCTCCTGGCCTAATAGTTTTTATTCATATTTAGTAATTCCCATTATTTTTATTAGCATTCAAAATCAAAACATTTCATCTTTTTTGTTTGTTTGTTTTGTAGCATTAACATATTTGTTCTTGAGATATCGTAGCTATTAAGTGACCTAATTACAGTGGAGTGGATGTGTGAGAGGAAGCCTAGGTTTACATAGTGCCTCTGATACAATACTGGTTGTGCGTCATTGAGCAAGTCACTACTTCTTATTGTCTCCAAGTAACTCTCTTAACGCTATAAAATCTAGAAGAATTGGTCTGTATTCGTGGAAGGAATTTTGTTCATAGGGAACTTGCTATACTAATGAAATCATAGGTGCTGACCAAAACCCAAGTAATATAGGGAATACTAGCTCAGGCCTTTAGGAATGAGTTAATCACCATTTTTATTTCTATTAGTGATGATAGCTACCACGCAGGTAATCAATGCAGTGACTACCACCTCGTGAGTGCTAAAACAAACAAAAAAACAACCCTCTAAAGCCAAATTGTGTACTGATTTCTTTCATGATTAAATATGAAAGTGGGAGGAAGAAATAATGAAGGAACTGAAGTTTTCAAATAGAAAACTACATCAAAGAACAGGAATACCCCCAATAATAAGAGTCAATATGAAGTCATAAGCCATTTATTTCTCACCTGTAGGGTATGGGCTTATTTTTTACTTTCAAACTTGATTACTATGACAACCGATGATTAGTGCCCCTGACCACTCAGATTACACCCTCTCCTGGTGAGGAGTTGAGGGAAAAGGTACTTGGGTGGTGGCACTTAAGTGCTATTGAGTGAGAAGCACAGCTAGGAGGGCACAAAGCATGGCAGACCAGGGCCCACTTCTCAAAATAGAAGCTCCAGAAAGAATTCACCAATGGGAGAAAGGGGCCAGCATGGCAAAGGAGTCTTCCAGGTTAAAAAAAAAATGTCGTAGGCACTTTAGGAATTTCCAGGGTAAAAAAAGTTCCATCCACAGTCACATCTCAGAGGGTTACCATCTCATAGAATTTCACCATCTCAAAATCTTTAAAAACCATCTCTCCATGATTCTACCTTTCCCATTCCACTGTCACTCACACTATACCTACTCTCTGACCTCATCATGACCTCCAGTTCTTGATCCCATTTTATCCTCTCAATCTCAATGACATTTACCTGAATACTCAGTCTTGACCTCACATGCCACTTTAATGATTCGTTATTGACTACCCTAAGATCCTTTGTCTCTCAGACTTTCCACTATTTCCAAAACTCTAGGTAACATCTCTAGTTCTTCTGTTCATGATCCCAGGCTGCTATATCACAAGACAATGTCACAAAATTAAACTGGTTTGCCTGCTACACATTTGTAGCATGATTTCAGTTGGGACCCCATTGCTGTTCAACAGGTCTGTTACACTACTCTTACTGAGTCTCACAGTGAATGTTGCAAACATTTTTCTTCCCATAGGCTCCACGTTACACCCTGCAGTGGTTTCACACCCAGCTAATGAGTTAGTCTCCTACTTCACTAAGAAGACTGCAGCCATCTAACTCAAATTCAATTAACTTTAAATCTTCACTATTTAAAACTCAGCACTGTCACCCCCTTTCCTTTCTGGATGAAAAAATTTCTTAGCCTTAAAGATTCAGATTTAACCTACATATGTCTCTAATAATGAAGAGGTGAATAATATGTATCTTCAAATCAGAGAACAAGCAAATAATTTACTCACATTTTAATAGCCACATTCGGCAACAACTTTATAATGTGTGGAAAATGTGACTAGATCACAGTATCTAATTTTTTTTAATTTGGGGAAGACAAAAAGAACCTGAAAATTTCAACTGTGGTTTGTAGTATAGAAAAGTTCCATCCCTCTTCTGTGATATGTGTGTTCCAAGAGAACCACTGAAAGGCCTTTAGTTGGCAGAATTTTGTAACAAGCACTTTTAATGAACCCCAATAAGTCTCCTTCCTGACACTACCAGCCTGGTCACTTCTTTGGAATGTCTATCTTCCAACCTTCTAAGGGTAAGTGTGCCCCAAGGCTCGGTCTTCGACCCTCCTCTCTTTTGTCTCTATACTCTGCCCTTGTGATCTCAACCATTCCCCTGGCTTCAATGACCACTTCTAGAAAAATGATTCTCAGGTCTATATGTCCAGCCTAACCTGTCCCTCCAGAAGCATAGCTAGGAAAAGCCTATAAGATTTTGCCCCTAAACATAGAAAATTAGAGGATGCTGATAGAACATGTAGTTCTTCAGCAGGATAGAAATAACAGAGTTTTGCACCTCTATAACAAGAATAATTAATTTAAATAGGAAGCTATCAGGTGGCAGTCATAGCCCCATATTGGCTTTTCCCCCAGCCTGCTGACCCTCATTCCCCCATCCTCCACCACCAGCAGCATTTAACTGGCATATTTTGTGCTAATTTGCCCTAGCACAAACATTGCTAGTATTAGGTCTACCTCTGTTCTCTGAGTGCCAGTCTTGTATTTTCACCTGTTTGTTGAATAGTTCCACCTGAGTGTTTCTCTAGAACCTCAAACTCAACATGTCAAAATTTAAGCCCTCTCTCTCTCAAATGCACCTTTCCTCCCAAATTCCATATTCCTATTTACTATCTTTTCAGTCACCAAGCTTGCAAACCTATCATCTTTGACTTTTTTCCACTCTCATCCTTCAAATCTACTCAGTAGCCAAATTCTATCAACTATACCTTGAAATATGTCTCCCATCTGTTTCTGTCTCTTCATTCACACAGTCATTGCTCTTATTCAAGGTACTTATCATTTCTTACCATTGTAATAGCCTCCTCAATGATTTCTCAGCCTCAAATCTCTCCTATTGTATTGTAGGATCATAGATCTATTGTTGAGTTAGAAGGAACCTTAGAGAGCATGTATCCCAACCACCTCATTTTACAGATGAGGAAATGGGCCCTGAGAATCTACAGAGTCAAGATTCAATTGCAGTTTCCACAATCCTAGTCTCTGTGCTCCAGAAGCAGCATTCTTTCAAATTCAGCTATATCATACTTCCTCGAATCCAATCTATCCTTAACACAGGTGCCAAAATAATATTCCTAACAGATGGGTCTTTAATTAAAAAACTTTCAATGGCTCCCTAGTCTATATAGAATAAAATTCAAATTCTTTATCCTAGCTTTAAGGCCCTGCACAGTCTGGCTCCAACCTACCTTTCCAGACATTTCACATGACTTCCCTTCTTTTATTCTATACTTTAGTCAAACTAGTCTTCTTAGTAGTGCCCTGGGCTCAATCAGATACTTCCTACTTCTGTGCTTTTGCCTAGACTGAACTGAATGCCTAGGACTTAGTCCCTGCACATTCTCTCTATCTGAAATCCTTCAAGTTTCAGCTCAGGTATCACCTCCTTCCTAAAGACTTTCCTAATCTCAATAACTGCTTTATACACAGTAGAAACTTGCTAAGTTATTGTTGAATTGAAATGTTGAAAGCCTCATAGACATGATTTAGGCTTGAAGCTTGAGGAGTAAAAATATTGAATACTCTTTTCCTACCACTTGAAGGTTAATAAAGTTGTCTCTGAACAGAAGAATAAACTAATCCTTCCCTCTAACCCATAGTTCAAATCCCACCAGTCTCTTATGATACCCATTCAAAAAGATACTAAATCTGGAAAGGTTATGAGAGAGGTTTGAATGTAAATTCAGCCAGAACTTGAAATTTTATTAAATCCAGCAAGACCCAAGCCCTATGGTGGAAATATAGGACTGTCAATGAGCACAGCATTCCATTAGAGATTTTAAATGATACGCTTCCCTGGTGACCAATTTTAAAAATCTCTAGGGAAAGTTTTGAAAATTTGTTTTGGATCTAGTCAAGTGGGCATGGGTAATCTAAAAATGTCTTTAATTTTCCTGGCCAACACAAAATGGTTGGGTCCAGATTTTGCTAATTTTCTAGTTTCTATTTGTGAGGGTGTAGGAACAGAAGGACGTCATTGCTTACTGTCAAAAGCCCCCTTTTTCTGCTGACATTGTTTTGGAGATGTCAGTGGTCTCCCGACCCTTTCATCTGAGATCAGGAATCCATAGGTGTATCAGCTCACTGCATTCAGACCTTCCATTCCCTCAAAAGAAAGGCCTAGCTTTGGAGAATGTTAGCAACATGAAAGAAAACTAGAAAGATCTTCGTTCTTCTTTGTTGGAAATACTGTTGGTTTGTTTTTGTTATTTCATCTCAGAAATTGGAAGCTACCGCCACCTGGTGGCATTTAAAAAATTCTTTAGCCGTTGAGACAGCACGGGCTTGGTGGTCTATTGAGATTTGCATACAGCGATATGCAACAAACATAAATCACTCTGTCGTCTTGATTAATTTCTTTTGGAATATTTTCATCTTCTGGATATTAAGGGGAAGTCAGCTACTTACAAATCACTCCGAGGGATTCGGTTCTATTTAGAATGAAATGGTTGTGATTTCTAGAGTAGATTCCCTAGCTTCCTGCCTGGAGCCCTATAGAGTTTACCAAGCCTGGCTGTATGTTTTTAGCGCTCTGACGACTGCTTTGAATATGATTTAGATTTAGCCATGGTCCAGCAAAGAAAATCCTATTTGATTTTTATGGTTAAGATAAAAAAAAAATAACACCTAACTTCGATGACCACAGAAGAAATCGCACACAAGAAATGCCGAGTTCAACATTAAGCCAATATTTCTGCACAATCTCTGTCTCGGGAGAGAGACGTTTAAGTGATGAGCACTGCCATTTATTTTTGGCCATAAATTAGAGACTTAAAATAGACCTTAAAGCATCAACTGAACTAAACTAGCCTTGCAGTTTAAAATTATCTTTTCTGGAGGC